TTTTTTTAATTTCAAGAACTGGAAAGAAAGGTTTCGAGGAGTTTCATAACAGTTGGGTTTTTCACCTTAAAAATTGACTGAAAATACTTCAAAAATTTTTTCTGTATAATTATTTGTAATCCACGTTTACATTCTCCATCTCGTGGCCATTTTATAAATTCTTACATCTTTGGAGTTTCTCTACAACAGCAAACGATAATTTAAAATGTTTTTTGTCCATAAGGGGAAACTACGCTCTTTTTCCCTGAGTTGAAGGGTTTTTGTTCTCAATAAACCAATATTATTTTTCTTAAATTGCAACTTTGCTACAACGCAAAAGCTACATGTACTAAAACTGAAAAGAAGTGGCAGTCCCTCTTGATCAGCGCAGTAAGAGAGTTCATGGAGGTCTACGGACACAAATATACTATAACTCAAGCCGCTATACTTTCTACACTTTAAAGCTCAAAGTCAATATGAAATAAATCTTATTTTGACTTCTGTATGAGATAAAGTACAGGAGACAGAATGACCTTCACAGGTTTTCTGCACTTACAGTTATTAAGGGAAAAAAGTCTGAAAAGGTCTGATTTGTTTCTTACATACTATCGCTAAGGTCAGATTTCTTAGCAGGAAACAACGAACACACTGTAATTTCCCTCACTCGCAACACGTGGCTTCCTAACTGAGTAGATAGCAAAGTAGCACCCATCGAGTACCTGAGAGGAACAAGTCCAGTCTCCATCAAAGCCCAAATTTATTCAGACTTCTTATTATGCAATGAATTTAACTGCAGTTCACCTGTAAAGATCAATTCGTCCTTTTTACCACATAAAGACATGCGTGTACCTTTATCAAACAGAATGATTGCTTTAGCTGTAATGGTGTTGCACATTGTCATGATATATCATGCGTCCTCCTTTGTTTGTGTCTATGCAGGTAACTTCAAGGATGACTTAGAACATAAGCTGATCAATCGCTTGTTCAAGAGTAATTACAGCAAAGAAGCTTTACCTGTAGTCAACAAATCAGAAGCAGTCCAGGTTACGTTTGACCTGGCATACAGTCAACTTATATATCTGGTAAGAAATGGGTTGCAGTGGTTATTGTTTTACTTTAAAAAAAAAAAAAACACTAATCATTAGGCAAAGGCGAGTGTAAATGCAATGTGCCTAATCTCAAAACCCTTTGACCCCCTTTAGCGTGACTAAGGTTCTAATTTTTCCTTACAGTATCATTCCTTAAACAAACATGAAGGCCATAATTGTAAGACAAATTCTCTTTGCCAGTACCATAGGAAATATTTAAGGATTCGTTTGGAGAATATGCACATTGATATTAGGTGTAGAAAGATGAGGAGGAAAGTGTGGTATGAGCAAGAAAAACTGAGAATACTCAATATCTTAATTGAGTTTAATCAACCAAACAACAATCTTCATTTTGTTTGCCTGTTTTTTTTTTTTCTAATTTTCCCACTGACATTTATCAAGAAATTCCCCTTCTATTACATCTACTCTTGCCTTACTTTTTAAGTCTTTTGCTAAAAATTTAGCATTTTTAGGTAGAATTCTGTTGAAACCTACCCCAATAAAAATAAATATTATTTTGCAGAATGTGGGTTTTGTCTAGTTTATCACAGTATCATGTCTTTTCTTCCACTTCAAATGGCTAAATGTTGTAATGTTCAGGACCATACGTCACATGAGATTATAAAAACCACTGAGTTACATGTAGGTTCCATTTTTCTTTTTATTATTAGGACAGCAAAAATCAAATACTCTCTAGCAAAGTGTGGTTGCGACAGGTAAAGTACAAAACATAACTGATTTATTTCATTTAGAGCTTTCTGTAGCCTGAAATAATTATGAGCATTGCCATTTGCCTTGAAAGGAATACTTACTGGTATGCATCTTTGGAGGAGCAGAAATACCGTACAGGTCTTTTCATGCGATAGAAACAGGGATATTGAATTTCAGCTGGATGAGCCATGTGGCTTGAGTCCAGACTTTACCTCAACTTCCAAACTCAATAGTCTACCATAATCCAACAAAGAATTAGTAACCTGCGGCCCCTTTCTAGAAAGTCCTGGTAACTCAACGGGCCCGAAGCCATGTTTTAAAATCAAAATTTAAAGGATAGGAAAGCAGGTTCTGGCACCCAAACTAGTCCTTTTTGTTTCTTTAGCTCATAGTTTTATTGTATCATTTTCAAAACTTCTGAAATCCCCATCTTTCAAGAAATGAAAGAAGAGGTAACATTATTTGCCCCTGCACATAATGTTACCTCTTCTTCCAAACTTCACTCACATCAGTAATTCTTTCACAGATGTGGACTAACCCATTTCTCGGCTGGAAGCCTGAAGATTATGGTGGAATAGAGCATATTAATATTGACCCAAAATTAATATGGAAACCAGACATCATTCTATACAACAAGTAAGTAAGAAAAGTTGAAGGAAAAAGAACATAACCAAAATGATATTGAGGAAATTCAAAAGCAAGAGTGATTGGCAGATCACAGAAGTAAGAATGTGCTTAAGGGAGTGTACTTTTGTTAACCTTTTTACTTCCAAGATCTCATCAGTGTCATTTCTCCTTACTGTCTTCCGTACAATTCTGATGATGTTAATCTGGAGAACTTGGTATCTGATGAACTAAAAATTCCCTAGATTGATATCCTTCTTTATTCTGGCCCATCACTTTTCTACATGATATTGCACTGACAATTCTTTGTACAGTGCAGGTCAGAGTAATGCGAACCAAAACATACACCAATAACGCGTCAGCACCAAACGCATATACGCCTCTGCATATATTCGCATATGCATCAAGGACGGGTATAGAGCAAAGTGATCAGTATGTATGAGCTGGCTCATTGTTTTTTCTATTGCTTATATTTTATTGTTTTTTTAATGGCCTGGCATTCTAAATTTAGTTGAAAGATCAAATTAAYGTGGCGCATCGGCATGTGGCGGACGCGAACTGCTAAATTGTAGATCACTCATGGTAGTTGATTAACCCTTCAACTGCCAGAAGTGATTAACATGTAACTTCTCCCTGTGATATCCATACATTATCCAGCAAACAGGTAATGAGAATACTCAAATTTATCAGGTAGAAGTTGTTATCCTGACCTAACCTCAAATTCTTGCAACTAATTAAAGAGGATATGTCCAGCAGCTAGAGAGGGGAGAATTAAAAATCAGATCTCAGGAGATACAAGGGTTAAAGGATAAAGCTCATACTTAAATGGCTTGACATTCTCATAACATACAAGAAAAAAAATAATGTGAGAAAATTTACTTGGTAACTCATTTAGAAATGTTTCCAATGTCAAGTCTAATGCATACTACTTATAACTATATTAAGTACCTTTTTTCCTCTCCTAGCATTGGCTTTGGCGAAACAGGTGCAATATATAACTTTGACACAAAAGCAACTCTGAGGTACGATGGATATACAGAGTGGTTTGCTCCAACAGAGATTCACAGCATCTGCAAAATTGACATCAGCTATTTCCCCTTTGACCACCAGAAATGTAAACTTAAATTTGGCTCCTGGACTTATACAGGTAATTTTAAACGAAGGAAGCTTTTTTTCGCCTTTGTGGTCACAATATTTCATTTCTTTTTTCTCGATTTTTGTAGTAGAACGTTATAAAGGGCTCCCTTTATCGCTCAATGACTGAGGCTGAAAGAACAACTTCTCGTCCACCATCTTGGTTCCATGTCACCATAGTAGTAATATACACTGTTTTCGGGTAAAAATGAACGTAGTCATCACCAACAACATTTTAAGTTCGTGCTGCTTTCACATACACAGGCCAAAGAGTCGATTTCTTCTATTTATCGCCACCCAACTTGATAATTTTAAAAGTTTGTATTTCACAGGATGTCCACAGTGTTTTTCAATTTAGCGCCTCACAWRAWTYSGSYYC